TGGTCCTATTGTTTTCAATACTTAACCAACTTAGTTCACAGACAATGTTGTGTCTTCATAAAGCCCCCAGTTCATGTGTATTCAAGTAAGTCTTCTTCACATATGTGATCTCCTTTTTCTTTTTAAGGAAGACAGACAAAAGATACACACAACCTTCATCAGACCTTGTGTCTTCAATATACTTTATGAAGAGGCTTTTTCCAAAGCAAGCAACTAAAGCATCCCAAAGTATCCATCCAAATTTAACCCTAGGAAAGCCACAACAATCATCCTAAAATTTTCTGATAATAATTAATGAACTTGCATGGTAATTTATTAAGTTAGACCTTAATTTAATGGAGGCCCTTAATTTGCATCTGGAGTTTTGAAATCTAAAAAGACAAGGACCATGCTTGAACTACATTGCTTTTAATGAACAATTGTTTATCTAAAGAAAACTTACGAGGCAGATCCAAAGTTCCAGCCTCCAATGGCCAAGAGGGTTTTCAATTTGCTATTCCTTTAAAGCAAAACAAGACAGAGAAATTTTTAAATTCATGGTTCCTGCCATTTAAAATAGCATTGCTCTTTATAGTATTGGGTCTTCTAAAACTATGCAGAGTAGGGTTGGTGTTGTACTGTCTGCTGAAGATTTATTTGAGGTATTTTCTTCCACTACTAAAACTTTATTACCACCATAAATGAAGTCAGAGCCCCTCAGAGAAATCAGAATTAAACAACTTTTCAGTCTTATTGTCTTGTACTAACAGTATTTGTACTACATATAACTTAAAAGCATAATTACCTCCTTGCTGTTTCATCAGATAAAGTGTTGAATAATGCTAAAGTATAATTACTTTATTACACTATGTAAAAATTAATATAAATTAATTGACTTGACTTTACAGACATAAATGGGAATGGTGATTATGAAATGTCTGAATCATAAGATTAAGTGCAAGGATGGTGAGAGGACATGAAAACTCTAGCTTTATTTTCCTTTCTCCTAAGATTCTGACAATATTACTTTAGGACAGTGCTTCTCAACCTTCCTAATGATCTGACCCTTTAAAACAGTTCCTCATGTTGGGGTGACGCCCAAACATAAAGTTATTTCATTGCTACTTCTTAGCTGTAATATTGCCATTATAAACTGTAGTGAAAATATTTGGTATTTCTAATTATGTCAAGACCGCTCCTCCATTGATGGTGGAAGTGAAAACTTGTTCAACCACTTTGTGAAACACTATGGCAATTTCTCAGGAAATAAGGAAATAATCTAGCTCAAGACCCAGCAGTACTGTTGTTGGATATATACCCAAAGGATGCTCAACCATACAACAAGGACAAGTACTCAACTGTGTTCAAAGCAATATTATTCATAATAGCCAGAACCTGGAGACAACCTATGTACCCCTCAACTGAAGAATGGATAAAGAAGATATGGTACATTTACACAATAGAGTACTACACACCGGTAAAAAATAATGACATCTTGAAATTTGCAGGCAAATGGGTGGATCTAGAAAAAGTCATACTGACTGAGGTAAACCAGGCCCAGAAAGACAAATATATTATGTACAGAAAGCTAAGAAAAACCAACCTACAGCCCACAACCCCAGAGAACGAAGACAACAAAGGGGACCCCCAAGAGAGACATACATGGATCTGCATAGGAAGGATAAAAAGACAAGATCTCCTGAGTAACTTGGCAGTGTGGGGTGATGTGAGAAGATAGAAGGGAAGGGGAGGAATGAAAGGGTGAAGAAAAATGTATAGTTCAAGAAAAACAATAAAAAGAAAACCCCTGTGAGAGGGGCATTCAACTCTCAAGGGAATAGCAAGCCACAGGTTGAGAACCTCTGCTTTAGGGTGAAGACAGACATTTTAATCAAGATACCCACGTAATTTTAATGCAAATAACCAATGGCTGGAGAAGATGCTCAGACATTATGAGCACATGTTGGTATTGCAGTAATCAAACTCCAGTTTTCCAGCACTCACAACACAACTAACGACCTGTAATTCCAAATCCAAGGAATCTAATGTCATATATATACTCCCCAATTCACCTGGACTGGATTACAAGCACACACACACACACACACACACACACACACACACACACATAAAAATAAAATAAAAACTTTAAAAGAAAACAAAAAGAATGCTATCAAAATACAGCAAATTCTTCTATTCTTGAACTCAAACATGTCTAATTTTAAAATCCTCTGTTCCTTGTTTCCTCTTGCAGTGTGTAAAAATAATTTGGAGTTTCCTGGGTCATTACACAAAGACAGAAAAGAACAAATCATCAAACACACATTTTTAAATTTTTTATTAATTTAACTTAATTTTATTTTATTTAAAATAATTTAATATTTTAATGTAGTTTATATTAATACTGACTGCAGCAGGCAATATTAGAATAATATGCAGAAAAGTTATCTACATCCTTGGTACTTGAATTGAGGCTCCTGGACCAGAAGCATCACCCTCATGTATCAGAGCTTAATAGATATAGTCTTGCCCACAAACAGAAGAATTAATTTGAATCATCCCTCTTACCAAATTAAAAAAAATGAACTAAATATAAGACTCAAAACTATAAAACTACTAGAAGAAATATAGGGAACATGAGGAGAGGTCCACGATAGATTCACTAAGCACTGATCTCTGTGAGGGATGAGTTCTGGAACTGCCACATTGTGACTCCTGCACAAGTAGGAACAGCAAAATGAGCACTAGAATTACATAAAATTAAAGCTACTCCACTACAATGGAATAAAGGAATTAGGAAAAGGACACAACATGTGCATCATATGGATGGAGCTAGAAAAATCGCACTGATTATGCAGACCCACAAAGACAAATAAGGGATTTATATACTTAAAAGGGGATGTTAGCAATTAAGTAAATAACAACCATGCTATAGCCCATAGACACAGAGAGGTTATGTAAAGAAAAGGATTCTACGGTAGATGCAGGCATCTCCCTGAGCCGAAGAATAGAATAGGTTTTGTGGACAGGTTAAGGTTGAAAATGGGAGTGGGGAAATCATGTAAGAGAGATGTGGGGTAGAGAGGAAGCGTGTGGGAAGAGACAGCTGTGTTGCAAAATATTTGATTACTCTGTGTAAAGATATGTCACTGTAAATAGTTTAATATAAAGCTAAGTGACCAATAGCTAGGCAGGATTTTCAGGGCAGAGAGAACTTTGGGAAGAAGAAGGGTGGAGTTTCCAGCCAGAAACAGAGGAAGTAGGTGATGAGGGAGATAAGGTAACAAGCCATGAGCTATGCGGTAGCACCTAAGTTAGTAGAAATGGTTAGCTTAAGTTCTAAGAGCTAGTTAGAAGCAAGCCTACGCTTTTGGCCAAGCTTTCATAATTGAGAAGTCTCTGTTGTGAGATATGTGTATAGATATGTCACTGTGCTCGGTTTAATAAAAAGCTAAATGGCCAACAGGCAGGCAGAATTTTCAGGGCAGAGACAGTTTTTGGATAAAGAAGGGAAGAGTTACCAGCCAGACACAGAGTAAGAAAGTTATGTAGATGAGTTAACAAGCCAAGGGCCATGTGGCAACATGCAAATTAATAGAAATGGGATAATTTAAGTTCTAGGAGCTAGTTAGAACTCAGCCTAAGCTATTGACTGAGCTTGCAAAATTAAGAAAGTCTCCATGCTTTGGGACCTGACTGGTAGGAGAAAAAAGTCCCAATAACACAGTTAGAAGATGGAGGGGAATTTTGGGTCATTGGGTAGGAACCTAATAAAATGAAAATTTCCTCAAATCTGTAAGGATAACCCTCATGAGGATTCCTAATAATGGGGCATATGATATCTCAACTGTTCAACACCTTTAGCCAGATAAAGGAGGAGGAGAAGAGAAAGGGGAAACTATAATTTTGATATATTGTAAAATAAAAGAATCTATCTTCACTAAAAGAAAAATATCTTTATATATAGTGTAATCTAATATATATATATATAATCTCTATAGTAGTAAGTTTCCATATGATTTGTCAAAAAGCCTTTCATGTAGGTTGTCACTCCCCTTATTCTCTCCTTTATTTGGCCCACTATCCGCTCCCAGAGTTAATCTTCCTATTCTATATTCCTTTTATCTCTTTATAAAACTATATTCAATTTCTTTTCTTTGGAAGAATGTATTCTTTTGCCTGATCCCTTTTAAATTAGATACTCTCTGTGGCTATACAGATGAAGCACACATATGCAAAGCTTAAAGTCAAACATCCAAATATAAGAGAAAATATGTGATGATTATCTTTAGGTCTGGGTTACCTTGCTCAGGATGATAGTTTCTAACTCCATCCATTCATTGCAAATTTCATTTTTCTTAACACTTTAATAATACCATGTTGTATAAATGTGTAATGTTTTTATTATCTACTCATCTGTTGATGGACATCTAGGCTGCTTCCCATTTCTTCCTATTATGAATAGAACAGCAGTGACAACAGATAAGCAAATATCTCAAAGTAAGATGTAGAGTTCATGGAGTATATGCCCATGAGTGATTGACTGGATCTTGAATAAACTGATTTTCAACTTAATAAATTGGAGAAAATATCTGCAAACTATTTATCTTGCTAAGGATGCTATCCCAAATATATCAAGAACTCATCTCAATACCAAGGAAACAACCTAATTGTAAAAGGAAAAAGACCATGAGTAGACATTTTAAAAAATAATAAAAATTTCCTAAAGATATATAAAAATAGTTGGCCCATTACTCATAAGAGAAATCCAAACTTAAACAGTATTAAGGGTAGACTTTATCAAAAACCAGAGTAGATAAGCTATATTGTCAATAATAGCACTTCAATATTCAATGTAGCAATGTTCTTAGATAGTTAAGATACATAATCACTGCAAATGTCTAAAAAAGAATGAAACTTTTAAAATTATGTAATTAATTATGTTACTCAGTCTTTAAAAGAATAAAATCAGCCATTTGTAACAAAATTTTTAACTTTGAAGATATGTTAACTGAAACTAACAAGGCACAGATTAACAAATAATACAAGATCCCAGTTATAAGAAGTATCTAAAATATTTGAACTCATAGAAGTAGATGGCAGAATTTTACCTTTTTGATTTTATTGAAAATAGATTCCATTCTCATACAATATACCCTGATTATTGTTTATCCCAACTCAACAACTCCCACTCCTCCACCTTTAATCTTCTCTCTGTATTCACTCCCTTTCTATTGTTAGAAAAAAAAGCTTCTAAAATATAGCTAAACATGACAAAATAAAACATAATAAAATGAAGCAAAACTATGATTCTTAAGTTATAATGTTTAATCAGGGGAAGAAAGGATTAAAGAGATGTTGGAAGGAATACAAACTTTGAGTGAGTTAGAAACAATGAGTTCAGAGCTCATCTCTACAAGATAGGGCCTACAATTCATACCATTGTATCATATTTTGAAAACCATTTGTATCAGCAAGAAATCAAAAGAACCTGTCTATCCACAGGTTCTTGGTCATGACAATAATGCCTTTATGACTTTGATCATGTGGACCAGGCCATAAATCAAACAGGGAAATATCACAGAAGAGGGGGTAGAAAGAAGCAGAGACGGTGAACTACAGTAAAAAAAAAAAAAAAAGTGTTTTCCAGAAACAACAGGGAAGTTGCACATATGAATACACTTCACTGCAGGTGGAACACCCTGCACAAGACATCCAAGATCTCAAGCCAGACTAAACCCCATCACCGAAAGGGAAGGTGGGCATAAGGTCACATCTCTAGCTGAAGCACTGGTGCCAAATGATAGGTTCTGGGAGAGTGGTTGACTCCTTGTAGGCAAACATTATTCCAGTTAATTCCCACACACTCAAAATATATGGACAGCACAAATTAGACTACATGATTTTAAAACCAAAATAAAGTTGTGTAGGTAGAGAAAGATCTGAGGAGGATTGAGAAGGTACTGATGTGATTTGACTACATTATACAAATTCTTAAAATTAATTTTTAAAAGTAAAAGATGATAGATAGATAGATGGATAGATAGATGGATGGATGGATAGATAGATAGATAGATAGATAGATAGATAGACGATAAATGTTGACTTGTTTTAGTTAATTTTGAGTAATATCTTCAAAGAAACTGGGATTTGGCAACAACTGGTCCAAATGATTCTAATTTAGATATTTACCCCTTTCTTTTACCTGTTTTTGAGGCCATTGAAAGCTTTGTAGAACTCTACATCATTCCATTCTATAGTGGTGATCTCATTGTTCTGCATCCCAGCAAAAGCATAGATCAGGTGAGTACACAGGCAAGGGTCGATGTCATCAGGGGTGAAATGACCCGGGCCTGGCCGATACTGGGCCCAGTTGGAGAAGTAGCATACCAGATTGTAGGCAGACCCTGTGGTGGTCAAAAACAAGGATGATGCTCCATTATAGATATCATTTAACTATGATGAAAGTTTGGGCTTTGCTTATGCCCCACCCACCCACCTCATAAGCCTGATCTCCAGCTGGAGGTGACTAGTTGAGCACTCCTGCAGATGAGTTAAGAAATGGTTTATATTCTTTTTGAGAGTTTGGAAAATCTTAGACTTCTTCTAAGATGGAATACTTATAGTCCTTCGAGTCCAGTGGTCCCATGAAGCTCAGTGAATGAGAATTTAATAACTCTCAGTAGTAATGACTGAGATAAAAGTCTACTCTCACACAAAACAAACCCATCTCTCCCTTTCTATTATGTTTTATGTCTTATTTCCCAAATAGAGTAACACTGGGTGCTGTTGGATATTTGTACACTGTCTGAAGATGTGTCATTGTGATTGTTTTAATAAAAAATCTGAATGTCCAAAAACTAGACCGGAAAGGAAAGGCAGGACTTCTAGACAAAAGGAGAAACTCAGGTCGTTAGAATATAACTGCAAGAGCAATGCCAGTGAGTTGAGGAATGGGTCAGGCATACAGAAGGAGAGACAGGTAAAAGCCACATATAGAATGTAGATTAATAAAAACAGGTTAATTTAAGTTATAGAATTACTTGGTAATAAGCCTAAGCAAAAGGCCAAGCTCCCATAATTAATAATAACTCTCAGTTTCAATATTGGGGAGCTGGTGGTCCCACAAAGAAAGAAGACTGACTTCAACAGTGTATTTTTAATTATATTAATCAGAAAATCACTTTATGTAAATTCAGGTGTTTGAGTTTTAGGGTAGTTAATCATTTTGTCAACAATAAAACATTGAATTAGTCTTGAGCTGTATGCCATTGAATGATGCCTGGCGGGAGATGGAACAGACGAGGAATGGGAACTTTGTCCAGGGTAACTTCTTTACTTTACCATGACAGTCAGGAATTAAAGATTCCATCAACTCTTATTGTCCTAATTTCCTCCTCCCAAACCTGCCAGCTCAGCTCTCTTTAGCCTGGGTTCCTGAGTCACAGCTAACCTGGAATCATGAATGCATAGTCTTTGAATATAGCTTCCTTCCTGTGATATAATGCATCTTATGTTTGCATAATTTTTCTGTTACTAGACAAAGCTTTAATTTGTCTAGTTTTACAGCTGAGTGGTTTTCCATTCTTGTGATGTATAATATACTATTCTTTGCCTCCATCCACTCTAGAGAGTATTTGGATTGTTTCCAATTTGGAGCAATTATGGACAAAGCTGCTATAAACATTTGTTTATGCATCTCTTTGTTAACGCAAAGTTCTGCTTCACTGGGAGTGTGATTTCTGAATCAACCTGGAAGTGTATGATTCATTTCATTAAAACAAAACTACTGTTTAAAAAAATAAAACATTGAATTAGTGACTTACCCAGATGAGCATTCAGCAGAAGGGCCAGACCTAGGGAGAAAAAATACATATGTATTCTGAACCAGCTGCCTGAATCCTCTCAGATATAACTCTAGAGCCTTATGGTTCATCCTGCTTGCCATGTGTTGTAACTTGTGTAAATAGGTGATCTTTCCAATAAACATTCTTTGAAAACACTTTACCAGTTGATCAAAAATACCCTTTACCTTTTTCTCCATTCTGGGTCATAACTTTTGTAAGTATGAAATCTACTATCTACAAAGCAGGGCTGACTGAAATTGTTCCAAATTCACTGCACTCAGTGGCCATGCATCAGATGTGCCTCATTTCCAGAGCTGATATGAGCTCAGGACTTCAAGAGATAAGACATCCTCCAAAGAAGTGAGTCGAGCAGCAGGAATATGTTAGCAGCATCTTCAGAGAAGTTTTCCTAGAGAATGTATGATGGAAGCCTCCAGAAGCTGCTCCTTGGCTTCAATAGAGCACTTTCTTTTAGGCATCATCTCACTCCATAGCTAATCTGGCCTTGACATGGAGAACCTCCTGCCTGTGTCGCCTGAGTACTGGAACCACAAGCTTGAACACTGTCAAGAGAAGTGGGCCACTGCTTCTTTTATATGTTAGGCTTCAGTATCCCTTTGAAAAGTCTTTGAAAAAAAATAAAGTTTCTAAAGCACAAATTTAAAGCAGATAGCAAGTTTTAGATGGGAACTGGGTCTAAACAATTATTTCATCCACCACTTGGATTGAAAGTCTCAGAGGAACACGTATGTCATCATCACCTAACCAAGACTATAAAGCATAGATAAGAAATAATCCTGAAAAAAAAAGCAAAGCAAAGACAACTTGCTTGGCTCTATGTGAATTCCTGCTATTTTTACCTCTAAAGGAGTTAGTTCCAAGTCAGAAAGAAATAAATGAGCATAATATCATTTAAAACAGGTGGCGCAGGGAGAGAAGTGTGGAAAAAAATGACTGGATGGGACAGGAAAGAGAAAGACAATTACTGAAAGTTAGTGACACTTGCTTTTATGGCCATGCTAGTAGCATGAGCTTTGAAAACGAGGGAAAGACTGATTGTATGAAAGAAGAACACTTGCAGTGAGAAGAAAGGAAGGAAAAGAATAGACGTGTAGTGTAATGGTTATGAGAGCCTGAGAAAGACAGACACAAGGCAAGGCTACAGACTCACCAGCAACAAGAATGAACTTGGCCATGGTGCCTTCAGTACTGCTCAAGCAGGCCACAAATGGCTTTTTATACCATCTGAGTGCCCACTTATCACAGGGGTTTCTAAATGGACAGTGTTTATCCAAGATGTGTACATTACTAATCATTAAATTCACAGATCTCTTCATCAGATTTGGTTGCTTAATTCTGTCATCCATGTCATCACCTTTCCTTCCTCTTGTCAAATGAATAGCACCATGTCTCCTTTAGGAAGGACATGTAGGACATCCATTAAATGTGACCTTTAGACTTAATACCTTTTTTGGCACTTCCCTGTGTAGACAAACACCTCTTCATATACTGAAGTTAAGTTTCATTTTGTGGATATTTTGTACCTGGCACTAAAGAAGGATCGTATTGCAAAGTAAACACTGAAAATCTTTGGGAATTATTGCTGTTTTTAAAATCTCGCTTTCATGGAGATTCCACATGTAAAATGTACAGTAAGTACCTGAAAAACTTTACCCCTTTTGGAGATGCTTCCTAAATATTCTGCCCATATCTGTTCTTATGATTGCCTTCAAGCAATAATTATTTTAAAAAAATTGGTTCAAGACTTTAGGGATTGGAAATTAATTCTGATTGATCATTCCTAGTCAGCTTCTTCTTTAGCCAAGATGTATCCACTATTCCTAAAAATAACACTAATATATACTTATAAATATATAGAAGGCAGTTTGACACCATTTGTATTTTGCAGAACAATAAAAATATGTTCTCCAAGCTCTTAAGTCGATATATTTAAAGCACTAGATATAAATTCCCTCTGGCTAAAAGCCCTCATATCCGACCACAAAGCTTTTGGTTACTTCCATGGCAGTCACTTCACTGCTCTACCAATAAGAGCATCTTGCCTGACACATCAGTATAATAGTGCACCTTATCTCTTGCCTTGTAAAATGATTGGCTCTTCTTCACCAGAAGCCTACACAGCACCTTCCACAACATAAAAAGTGAAAACATTCACATGAGTTCCAACTTGACGTCTCCAAGTCTAACTATATAGTTTCTCCAGCAATATGGTCTACCTCCTTCAACAATAGGGTCTAAGTATCTAGTTTTTTTTTTCAGCAAAAAATTTCTAACTAGTGTCTACAGCAATAGGGTCTAACTATCTAGTCCTTCAGCGACAGAGTCTAACTATCCAGTTCATTCAACAATAGGGTCAAATTATCTAGTTTCTCAGCAATAAGGTATAATGGACTAGCTCCTTCAGAAATAAGGTCTAACTATCCAAGAGCAATTGCAAAAACTTAAATTGTTCGGGGAACTACCAGGACCTTCCTAATTAACATCCATACCCAGGTATCCCATGCTTAGCCCTGGAATTTTTGTTTATATAACTATGGCTTCTGGAAGCATCATCCACACACACCTGATTTCAAACTCTTTCCTTAAAAAATCATGTTTATTAGTTTGCAAAGTAATATATTTCCAGGTGGTTTTTCATACATCCTAAATCTTGTTTTGTGCTTCTCTCCTATGTATGCCCCCACAAACACCACATACATTATATTCTCAGACTCGTGCCCCACATCATTCTAGTTTAAACCTATCTATTTGCAGAATTTCTCTCTGTGCTTCTGTAACACATGTGTTCTACTATATGTGCTTATCTACTTCTAAGGACTTTTCCCAACCCCAAGAGGCCCTTTAGAGCTTCCTGGCCTCTCTAAACAGTCATGTTAAATGAACAAATATAAAAATCAAAAGGTGAAATCTGTGTATGAGAGAAACAGGTGGCATTCATGACTCTGGACCTAGATTAACTACGATATTTTCCTGCTATATGCATGTCTCTACAAATACTCCATTATATGCACCACATTTTTATTATCCATTTTTCGGCTGGTGGACATCTAGGCTGATTTCATTTCCAACCTTCTTTAAATAGAGAAATAATGAGAATGGGCATGTCTCTGCAGTACGACTGAATCTTTTGGGTGTGTGTCTGGTGGTGAGGTTGAGTTATATCATAGTTCTGTTTTTACCTTTTTTTTGAAAATCTACATATTGAGTTACATTGTGGATGATTCAGTTTGTGTTCCTTACCAACAGTGTATAATGGTTGCTCTTTGCACACATTATATTCAGCATTTCTTGTCAATTGTTTTCTATATGCTAGCCATGGTAAGTGTGGTGAGATGGAATCTCAAAATAGTGTTTTTCTTTTATTTTGAGAAATAATATTATTACATCATTTTCACCTTTCCCTCTATCTTTCAAATCCTACTATATACCCCTCATTGCTGTCTTTAAAATGTACTCTTTTTATTAATTGTTGTATGACATATATGTGTGTATAAAAACATATAAATTACTGAGTATAAGCTGCTCAGTCTACATAATGCAATTACATGTATGTTTTCAGTACTATTTGGCATTTGATAAATAATTTGGGTGCTCCTCCCTGGAAAAGACTATTCCCCCTACTTTTAGCATCCCTTACATTTTATAGTGTTTTATGCTGTTTAGAGGTACCATAGGCTTTTGCCTTTCCACTTTGGCATGTCCATTGTTGTTGTCCTAGTTCAACTCATGTTTTGGCCATCATGTAAGTAAGACTGTAGGTGTAACTTCTGAAATTACTAGAAGACACAGTCTCACAGCAAGCCACTTGATCCACTGGCTCTTAAATCTTTCCACTAACTCTTCTGAAATGATCAATAAGACTTGGGTTCAGAAATCCTTTGGTAGATATATCCATTGAGTCTGGGTTCCATAACTCTACATTTTAATCGGTTGTAGACTTCTGTAATAGGCTCCTAGTGCTGCAAAGAAAACTTTCTGTGTTAAAGGGTGAGAACTACACTTATCTGTATGTACAAAAACAAATATTTAGAATGCAGTTAGGAATTTACTGATTAGTAATGTGGTGGTAGAAGTTTCTCCTCCAGGATCCATGAATTCACTAGCACTAGACAGTTGGTACTAAACTAGTACCAAGAATTGTTTCCCTCATGTTGGGTGGACCTTAAGGCCAAGTAAAGAGCTATTAGTACTACCAAGATATGCATGCTACTACCGCACCTTATGGTTATTGTACAATGTTGGTCATTGTTATGATTCATAGGTGTTGCAGTTGGTTATTGTGCCATTTGGAGGCTTGTATGGCATCTTCTGGTACAATATAAGCTAGTCCTCTGGAAGGAGACACTCAGGTGAGTTGCAGTTCAGGAGCCTATGTGTCCTGTGTCGGATGTGTACAATGTCTTCAGCAACAGGGACTTACTTTACCCCTCTTGTGGGGCAACAAAGACAATAGCAGTAGCATATAATATTTTGTGAGTCTCTTAGACAACCCTGACTAACAACTCAAAAGAGCACTGCTCATGCCTGGTGCTGGGGTTTTTATTAGAATTTCTTGGGGTTTTAGAAGAAGCATTGTCAGACAAGTTGAGAATTTTTTATAAATATATGTACACTTATATCTATAAATTTATTCATATATTTGTCCACAGATGTGTCTATTATAAGAATTCTAGGTAAATAGTTGATAGTATTAATCATTATGACTTTTTCAGACATTGTTAACATTATTTTATCCTCATTATTCTGTATTTATTTCCATCCCCCTTTTTCTAATTAGAGTCCTCATTTCTCCCCATTTCTCTTGTACCCTACTATACCATTCTCTATTGCTCCCCAACCCTGTGACCCCAGAAGTGGTACCCTTTTACCTTTCTAGTTTTTGCTGTTACCTAAGATATATATGTATCTGAAGATTTGGAGCTGGAAGTCTCCAATAGAAGAGAACATGCAATGTTTGTCTTTCTTGTTCTGGGTTGCCTCACACAATATGGTCCTTCCTAGTTCCCTCCATTTATCTTCAAAGTTCATAATTTCATTTTTCTTCAGCAGATGAATAGTATTACATGAGATATATGTTCCAAATTTTCATTATCCATCCATCAGTTGAAGGGCATTTAGGTTGTTTCCATTTCCTAACTATTGGACATAAAGAAAAAATGTACATGGCTAAAAAAATAAATGTCAAGTCCTCTGGGCATATGACAAGGAGTGCTATGTATAGGTCAATGGTAGATTTGCTTCCAACATTTTGAGAGTTCTCCACACTGATTTCTCTAGTGGTGATACAGGTTTCAATCCTACCAACAAAGGTATGGGGGGTTTTTTCTCTCCCTGAGTCTCAGGGTGTGATGTAGATATCTCATTTAGGGATAAGCATTCCACAGTTTCTTATTTTCTACATATTGACCAGTCTTTGTGTTAACTGCCATTTACTGCTGAACAAAGCTTCTCTGGTGAAGCTTTAGAGAGACAGTAAATAATTAGGAGTTAGTTTGATACTCTTGATAAAGGCACCTGCAAGTCTCTTTGTTAGGCAGACATCAAAGAGAAGTCCATGGCATGTATCTAGCCACTGTTTCCAACTCTAGGGATGCTAGAACAGCAACATATCCCCAACAGTAATAGGAGAAAGTCTTGAATCATTCCTCAGCAATGCAAACAGCACTGTGAATCCTCTAGAGTTGGAAAAATGGTCACTAGGCTACTGGCCCATCACCAAGCTTCAGATGTCTTCCAGAGTCTAAGCTATCACACACATTAACAAGGGAGGGAAGAAAAATGTAGTATTCTTGGCAGCAACATGTTATCACATTCTTCTCCTCAATTCCTCTCTCTCTCTCTCTTTCTCTCTCTCCCCCCCCCAAACACACAGCTGATATTTTAAATGGAGAAAAGTTTTCCACTAAATCATAAAAATTAAGGAAACCCATGTTTTGGCAGCTGATTTTATTACATAGCTTTAGATGGAAGCAAGATATCTTTGGCAAGGCATAGTGGAAAATACAGAAGTTTGGAAAAGCGGGACAGAGTCAGGTTCATGGCCAGTTGCAGCAATTATAGCTGGTATCAAAGACAAGGCCTGTCGGACATTGCTGCTGGTATGTGATTCCGTGGGAGCAGTGCCAGAAGGCATGTCTGTCATTGACCACAGGGTACAGGCCATCAGCTGTAATTCCGCTGCCTTCAGAGCTTCCTCCAGAGTTCCCACTCCCACTCCCGCTTCTGATTCCTGGAGAAGTCACTGGCTCCGTAGGCTCAGTGGGCACATCAGGGGCTGTGCAACCTAAAATATAAAAATAGAGAGAGTAAAGGGGTGGTCATGCTGTGGCCATGAACTTCAAGTGGAAGCAAAGAAAACTAGCTACATCATTCCCAGGAGAAGATGCAATTAGCGGCAATCTCACAACTGAAGAGACTCAAAGACGATTCCGTATCAGGAAATAAGAAAAAGTGTGGATCAACTCCTACTTTTCATTTGTGTCTCCTTTGTCATCTAAGGCATTCAATAATTAACACATGCAAATGTTTTGAAGATCTGAATATAATAGCTTTGAGGGAAAAAATCTAGAAACAGGGAAATGGAGACATTCCCTGAGAGGTGAATAAATAAGAGCACTGGCATGGCTTCCTGTTAGTTCTTCCAGGAGGCTAAGAAGGACATTGAATGAGGGACACACACACTCATTAACGGACACACACAGATGAAAGCATAAGTCACAAACAATGCCACACCAGTTTGGAATTATGATTAATAGGGGGTATTTATTTAAAGGGGAAAAAACTTACAGATAACCGTCCCAGACAACAGCCCTCTGCACAATCAGGAAGGAGTCTAGTCGCCGGAAACAGAGCAGGAAGCAAAGAGGGAGAGAGGTGGGAAGTAGCCGCTTTTTTAATGAGAAAGACTACGCCCCGATGGGCTGGTATCTCAGCGGCTATTGGCTGGAGAAGCAGAAGGATCTCCCGCAACACACAGAGATTTGTATGCTAAAGATAAGCACAATTTCTGCAGACTCTTACAAACTTTGAAGTACTAGGAAATTTTTCCCACACACTCCAACGTTAGGTCTGGTTTCCCAAAATTCCCTTAGAAGTTGAGATTTAGGAAAGGTCACCTGGGCAAGAATAAGGGAATGGATTGGAAAGAGTTTACCCCATGCAGCGGGGATGAGCATTCAAGCCTGCCTTTATATTGATAAAGGGACATTAGAAACACGCCATCTGCATACTCAGGTCGTCACTTACTTGTGGACACACCCAGGGATTTGTTAAGAGTAGAGGTCATTGGGAATTTGCCCTGGTCCAGAAAGAGCCAGTGAAGTCATCAAGATCAATGGCCCAGATCATGGCACCTCCAAAATTGTTCTGCTTAAGCCACTGAGCCTGTTTAAAGAGAGAAGGTGTAAGGTTAATTTGATTTCCTGAGCCTTGGTGCTGTGATGTCAGCAAATCCAAGGAGCTGACCTTACCTTGACATCGAAGCTCCTGACATTGTCATAGCCAACCCACTCATTGCCTTTATATGCATAGGGAACTTCCCGAGAGGCATCCCAGACCTCAGTGGCTCCATTTCTCAGGAAGCTGCAAATCTTTAAACAGCAAGAGATTTAAACCCTTCACATATTAATTCCATGAAAGAGAGAAACATTGATTTCTTTCCTTTCTTACTTTCAGTTGGGGTTACCTCATTTTTATGATTCATTTTTGTTTGTGGTTAAAAAAATAAGTTGTTCTCATCATGGCAGTGGTGGCAATGGACCCAGGACATGTACTTGCTCAGTACAGACTATCACTATCACCCCTAATCTTCCATTTTTAAGGTAGACTCTGTCTATGCTTTGTTTTTTTTTACCAAACTTAAAATCATTTTTATTCCTAAGTCATAAATAGTACATTATATGAAATTGTTATAATAATTCTTTTGAACTTCATTTCCAGATCATAACAATGGATCATTTAACTTGAAAGCACTATCGGGAAGCTCTGGATATAAGTTTGGTGTTCTTGCTAAGATCGTGAATTACATGAAAGTAGGTACTCACATACCAAAAGTCCACTTTGATTTTTTTTTTGACAAAAAAAGGGAGTTGAGAGATCTGGGTTTGCAGAAGTTAGACATTTATATAAATATGTCAAGATGTATCTAATTACTCATTTTAGTATGTGTAGCTTATTATATGTTGATTATACTTCAAGAAACCTTTAAATAT